AATGTGACATCACTCTTCCCACTTCCTTCCTGTATTTCCTGTTTCCATTTGTCCCTTCCTATCCCTTGCTGCCTTCTGAGTTTTATCCCTGGGCAAAAGCTGTTCTTTTGATCTTGTATGGCGATTGTAAGGAGTGCCTACCCATCTAGTGTTAATTGTTTATTTTACACACCTGTTTATTGCTTGGCCGAAAATTGATCCACTGGGGGAAGTTCAGTTCTAGGCTTGAAAGGTGACTACAGGCTACACTCATGGGTTTCACCAGTCTTTATCATACCAGAAAACTTGGTCTATTTTATGATTTTGAGTTTTGTTCCACATCTTTCCCTACTCCATCCAGAACCTTCTATCTTGATCCCTTTCAGAGCAGTCAGTAGTGGTAGTCAGGCACCATCTTGTTCTGGTCTCAGGGTTGAGGTGCCTGAAATTCACTTGGTTCATTAGTCCTTTGAACTATTTATTTTCATGGATCTTTGATTTTCCTCACTCTTATTTGGTGTGGATGGATAGAGACCAATAGTTGCACTCTAGATGGCTGCTCTTTAACTGTTAAGAACCCACCCACTACTCACCACGGTAGGATGTAGAATATTGTCTTTGTAAACTTTGTTATGCCAATTGACCTTGAAGTCTTCTGAGATCATGCTCCAATTTTTAATGGATGTTTGCAGATATTTCTTCTCATTTTGAGTTGTGCCACATCAGCAAATGAAGGTCCTGAAAACTTTGTTCCAACTATGTCATTAAGTGGGGCTCTGGTGGTGTAGTGCCTAAGGAATTTGACTGCTAACCAGAGGGCTGGCGGTCAAACTCAACAGCCACTCCTCAGAAGGAAGACTGGGCAGTCTACTTCTGTAGAGATACCGGCACAGAAACCCAAGGATGGGTCGCCGCTATGAGTTGTAACTGACTCAATGGCAGTGAGGGTTTTTTTTTTTTTTTAATATTATTAAGGTCAACTCGTCTTTGAGGAGGCAGCACTTCCCTAGTCATACTTTGAATGCCTTCCAACCTAAGGGGCACATCTTCTGGACTATATCAAACAGCATTCTGCTTCTATTCATAAAATTTTCATTGGCCAGCTTTTTTAGAAGTAGATTATTAGGACCTTCTTTCTGGTCTGTCTTATTCTGGAAGTTCTGTTGAAACCTGTCCATCATGGGTGATCCTGGTAATATTTGATACGGGTACCATAACTTCTAACATCATAGCAACATACAAGCCACCACAATATGACAAGCTGAGAGATAAGTGGTGGTATTTGACTTTGCGCATCATAACAAATTGTGGATAACATTTCAAAGAATGGAATTCCAGAACACTTAATTGTGCTCTCGTGGAACCTGTACATAGACCGAGAGGAAGTTGTTCAGATATAACAAGGGGATACTGTGTGATTTAAAATCAGAAAAGGTGTACGTGAGTGTTGTGTCCTTTCACCATACTTATTCACTCTGTATTCTAAGCAAATAACCTGAAAAGCTGGACTACATGAAGAATAATATGGCATCAGGATTGGAGAAAGACTCTGTTCTGGTTACCTAGTGCCACTCTGACAAGAATATACCACAAATGGGATGGCCTTAACAAACAGGAGTTTATTCTCTTACAGTTTGGAGGCTTTAAGTCCAAGTTCAAAGTGCCAGGCTCTAGGGGCTGGGTGAAAGCCCCTAAGCCTTGGGGTCCAGCTCCTGGCCCACTGAAGCTAGAGCCTTTTCTTCACTCAGACAGCTGCTGGCTGCTGAGGCTGCCAAGCCCAAGGTTGACAAGTAAAAAGGCACAGTCCCAATGTTACCAAACCACACGGTAGGCCATTAATTCAAGTTCATTATAAGTCCCTAGGTCAGCAGAGCATGGCAGGCTGCTGAACAATGACATGGCTACATGCAGGGTTCAAGGTGCCATAAGCTAGAGACCATTCCCAAAGCTGCTGCTTATATATGGAAAGCAGACCACATACCCAAAGCAGCTACTCAGCTGCTTATAGTAGATCCCACCATGGAGTTGACTGCCAGTCGCATCATGGGAAATAACTACCACCAGCTTCCCAGCCACTCAGCCAGGCCCAGCCAGGTTGACACACAAACATAACCACCACAGGCTCATTAACAGTCTGCGATGTGCAGATGACATGACCTTGTTGAAATTGAGGAATACTTGAAGTACTTACTGATAAAGTTCAAAGGCTACAGCCTTCAGTATGGATTACACTTCAACATTAGGAAAACAAAAATACTCACAACTGGACCAATAAGGCAACATCATGATAAATGGAGAAAAGATTGAAATTGTCAAGGATTTCATTTTACTTGCATCCATAATCAATGACCTTGGAAGGAGCAGTCAAGAAATCAGATAACTTATTGCATTGGCAAATCTACTGCAAAGAGCCTCTTTAAAGTGTTGAAAGGTAAAGATGTCACTTTGAGGAATAAGGTGCACTTGAACCAAGCCATGGTATTTTTAATCTCATCATATGCATGTGAAAGCTGAACAAGAAATAAGGAAGTCTGAGGAAGAATTGATGCATTTGAATCATGGTGTTGATGTAGAATATTGAATGTACTGTGGACTGCCAGAGGAGTGAACCAAGTACATCTTAGACGATGTGTAACCAGAGTACTCCTTGGAAGCAAGGATGGTGAGACTTCATCTTTGAACATGTTGTCAGGAGGAGTCAACTTTGAACATGAGAGCTCAGTCCCTGAAGAACATCATGCTTAGGAAAGTATTTAAGTAAAAAAACAATAAAACCTCACTGCCATTGAGTCGGATCTGACTCAGCGACCCTTCCTTGGGTTTCCAAGGCAATATCACAATGGAAGTAAATTACCCAACCTTCCTTCCAAGGAGTGGCTGGTGGGTTTGAACCACCAGCCTTCTGGTTAGCAGTCAAATGCCTTAGGCACTTGACTGTTGTTGTTGTTATGTGCTGTCAAGTAGGACCGACTCATAGCGACCCCTCCTTGGGTTTCTGAGGCAGTATCACTACGGAAGTAGATTGCCCAACCTTCCTTCTGAGGAGTGGCTGGTGGGTTTGAACCACCACCCTTCTGTTTAGCAGTCAAATGCCTTAGGCACTATGCCACCAGAGCTCCTTAGGAAAGTGTAGGGTCAGTAAAAAAAGATGACCCTCAACAAGATAGATTTACACAGTGACAGCAACAATGGACTCAGACGTAGAAATTAATGATTGTGAGGATGTTACAAGACTGGGCAGTATTACATTCTGTTGTTCATGGGGTCACTATGAGTCAGAACCAACTTAATGGCACCTAACAACAGTAACAATACAGAAGAGAACATTATACACACACACACACACACAAAAAAAACTCAATTTATCACAAAGCAAAACACTCACTTTGCCTAGTCAAGTCCTACATGTTCTCCAGAACTCAGGTTAGCCTCATTTCTACTATGAGTCAGAACCAACTTAATGGCACCTAACAACAGTAACAATACAGAAGAGAACATTATACACACACACACACAAAAAAAAAAAACTCAATTTATCACAAAGCAAAACACTCACTTTGCCTAGTCAAGTCCTACATGTTCTCCAGAACTCAGGTTAGCCTCATTTCTTCCTGAAGTCACACCCTGCATTCCTAGCTAAATCTCTTTGTAGTACCTGTGCTCACAACACTTGTTCCTTTCTGCTTTAGTAGCACTCAGTACACTTATAACCCTTGCTCCTACTGGATATGCTCTCCAAGAAGTCAAGGACTGTGTCCATTTTGTTCACTGCTTTTTCCCTAACCTCAAGCACAGAGACTGGCATGTAGTAAATGCTGAATAAATATTTGAATGAGTGGATGGGCTAGGGAGGAAAGAAATGAAGGGAAAAGAAGTAAGAAAAAGAAACTTATTTCCTGTTTCAAGGAAATCAATGTCTGTCAGGGGAACAAACAAAAAATAGATCATTCTAGTACATAATGACTAAGGGAAGCTCAGGACATTATGGCAGACTCAGAGAACTTTCAGTCCTTTGAGCTAGACTTTGACATATAAATAGAAGTGGGGGAAAGGTATGAGTTGGTGAGGGCACATGTGCCTGTACAGAGGCTAGAGGAACATGAAGGCAACTTGGAATACTCAGGCTGAGCCATGGTCAGGATGAGGAGGGGAATATTGGGAAAAGGGCCTGTAAAGGCAGGGAGGCAGAGCTGAGAAGGTCCAGCAGACTTGTCCAGCAGCCCAGCCTGGCTTGGCCCTCAGCATGTGGCAGAGCCCCCAGACTCGCCCTGCTCTGATTCGATCTTTGACCTCAGGATGGCTTGTTCCTGAGTTAGACCACCCCAGAATTACTACGTTTCATCCCTTACACCTTGTCTGCTTAGCTGGACTTGCAGAAATCCCTCCAAGCTCAACTGGTCTCCAGGAATGGTGAGGAGACATTGTGATAAAGGGGAAGAAACATGAACTTTGGAGTCAAGGGTCTAGATCAGAGTCCCTGCCAGCTCTGCCTCTTAGGACCTTGAATCTTTATCTCTTTGAATGTGTTTCTTCATGTGTAAAATGAAATAATAGACATTGTGAGCATTACATGTGAAAAGTGATTTATAAACTACTCTGCAGACATATTAGGATCCAGAGCCAGTGTTTCTAAAATGCTGTAAGGGATTAAAAGGCACTTTAAAAAAAAAAAAAAGTATAAACTGTTATACTGATTTATTATCCTTGGTCTTCGTTTCCTGGTTGGGAAAGTACAGGGCCCAGTACCCGTTGCTTAGTTCAGGCCAGTTTCCTGTTATAATGGCAAATATTACCACCCGGCAGGGGTTGTGAATGAGGTCCCTGTCACAAAGCACATGGCCTTGTTCCTTAATTGCCAGGGTGGAATTAATTTGCTCTTCCTGTTTCTCTTGTGACAGGAAGTAGATGTCCTTGAATTTCAGTTGATTAATGGAGGCCTCCGAGCAGAGTGCTCCAGCCTCTCTTGCTTTTAATCCTTATGCAATGCAAGGCCCTAATTTGATAATTTTGCTGTTTTTTAGATGGATCACCTACTGGTTGAAAATATTGAGCGGGAAACGTTTCATCTCTGTTCTCGCCTCATTAATGGGCCATACCGGCGGACAGTGAGAGCCCTGGTCTTCACATTAAAGCACCAAGCTGAAATCCGGGCCCAGGTGAAGAACGGCTTGCTGCCAGTCGGCACGTTTGTAAAGACGCACAAAAAGTGACCTGAGGATGTGCCAATCCTGGGCTGGGCAGAGAGGAAAGCAGGCCTCTCTGCCATTCAAAGACTCTTTTGAGTTTGGGTGATGGCTGAAGCTGGCTGTGCTAAATTTCCCCATGGTGCCATTCCTTCAGACGGAGGGTGCAGAGAGCCATAAGGGACAGGCCTGCAGGAACCTTCTTCATTATCTGTAGCTTGCTGGTGCTGCCTAACAGGATGTGTACCGGCTGTCACTAGGAAGCTCTGCACGATTGCCATCACCCAACACAGCGAAAGGTGATGGATTTCACTGTGAGTATGCCAAGGACACCTCTAAACCTCCCCCATGTCAGGCAGAGGAACTTACTACTTTATTTCACCACCCTGCAGGTTACTGAAACTCAATTACTGCTGCCGCTCACTTGGTTCCGTCCCCCTGAGTTTAGATAGCTCCGGTGCCTCTCAGAACTCCCCCGTCTGTTCTCTTTGCTCTACCCCAGGGGTGAGCCTGCCAGAGCCAGCTGACTACCCCTTCTTCCCAGAGCTCACTTATCTGAACGTTTCAGCTCTCCCTGGAAGACCTTCTGCGTTGGTCTCCAGAGCCCCCATGCTGCGGCTTCTAATGAGGAACTGGCCTGCAGCATCCCCCCACCTCGGGGTTTATTTGAATATGTTGGCTTTCTCAGTTTAGGGCTATGTAGAAGATATATAATGAAATTTCTCTTGAAATGAATTGCTGTAGTAGAAAAAAAAATACATATTTTAAAGTGAAATACCTCTGTAAGGCCTGCTGGAACAATTATGTAAATGATATTTGCTTTTTAAAGTAACAATAAACTGGGATTTTTTTTTCTCTAAAACAAAAGTTATTACTTGTTTATTGAAAAATGTTTGGGGTCAGGAAAGGGTACAGTTGGTGAGATTAAAGGATGACAAGGCAAGAATTCAAGAGAATTAGCAAGTCCCGAGTGGTTCAGTGTTCAGCTGCTGACTGAAAGGGTAGCAATTCGAACCCACCAGCCACTTCACAAGAAAAAGATGTGGCAGTCTGTTTCTATAACAGTTTACAGCCTTGGAAACCCTATGGGGCCAGTTCTACTCTGTCCCTTAGGATTACTGTGAGTCAGAATCAACTCAATGGCAGTAGATTTACTTTTTAAGGAAATTTTTTAGATTAGGGGAGACTAGAGCAAGTTTGTGATGCAAACCATTCAGTGCTGGGCTGTTAACTGACTGGTTAGTGGTTTGAACCTCAGAAAAAAAAGGCCTAGTGATCTGCTTACAAAGGTCACAGCCCTGGAAATCTTATTGGGTATTGTTCTACCCTAATAGAACAATAGCCATGGGGTTTCCATGAGTCAGAATCAACTTGACAGCAACTGGTTTGGTTTTTTTGCTTTGGAACATGTTGTAATATAAGAAAGGAGCCAATAGAAAGAGAGAGATTTATGACCCCCCAAAAAGAAGAGATGGTTGATAGAGCGAAAAGCAAAGATAGAAGGGGAGGGACTAACATGATTCTCCATCTTCTAAGTGCTAAGTGTTTTTCTTAAAACAATTTATTAACATTTCTGTGGCTCTTTATATAATTTTTTTAAAAATCCAATTTAATTCCCTCACTTGTTATATGAAGTTGGTATTGTTATTTCAGTTTTTTAGACTTACTCATTTATTCAGTAACCATTTACTGAGCGTCCATTGCATGAGGCACTGTGGAAACTGGACAGTAGCTAGGTGAAACCAGAGTGGTTCACAAGAAATATCTTGCTCAATTTCCCACTATTGGAGCCATAATAATAATAACTGCCACCAATTATTGAGTACTTACTATGTGCCCAGCAGCATAATGAATATCATTCAAAAAATAAAACAAAGATGAGAAAAGTGAGGCTTAGAAAGTAACTTGCTCAAGGTTACACAGCTAGTGAATGGCAGATCTGAGATTCAAAACCCAGGTCTGTTTGACTGTATACAGTCTCCTTGGTTGATTTCATCTACTCTCCTAGTTTCAGGCATCATTTACATGCTGATGAGGCTCCCGTTTACATCTTCAGCCCAGACCTGTCCCAAGTTTCTGATATCTCCTGAATGTTGTAGACGCATGATATAACATGTCTTTCTCTCATTTGGCAATATTAGCAACCCAAGCAATTCTAGCTAAGAAACTGAGAGTCAGCCTCGACCCCTCCATCCCTTACCCTAACCCAGCCACGTACTCCCCACATATATTTCAAGTCTCTTGCATCTTCTCCATCTTTAGTATCACTTCAGGACCTTATCCTCTTTTGCCCAGATGACTAGTCGTTCTCCTAACTGGACTCTGCCTCCAGTCTTAACCTCCTCAAATACACCCTTCTGCACTATAACCAAAGTAACCACAACTAGAAAGCCCCCATTTAAAAACCCGTCAGTAGGTCCTTGTCACCTATTGGATAAAATACTTAATGTGGTTTTCAAGGCTGTCTATGAGCTGGCCCCTGCCTTCCTCTCTATTTCTCTGTATTCTCACCTCTCTCCACTCCCTGACCCAAATGTGACCCCTCCATCTTCACCAGGCTCCTTGAAATTGTTCACATCAGATTGCTTGAAGCATCTGACCATTTTCACACGCTTTTCCCGCCTCTGGACTGCTACTCTGTAATTCCACCCCCGCCTGCCCAGGCCTTCACAGCTTATCTACTATTATTCAGTACACGCCCACAGGTTCTGGGTTATGCTTATGATTCTATCTTTCCACTTGATTGTAACCTTTCTGACTTCAAGGAGGTTACAGTCAAGTGGCTTTCTTCAGTAACTAGAACAGTACTTGTCCTAATAAATATTTGTGAAATTAATTGGCATCCAGGCATCTGTGCTATCCCTGTTTTTACCCTTATTCCCCCTATAGTCTGTTTTCCACAGAGTAGCCAGGATGAATCCTTTAAAATGTAAGACAAATCATACCACTACTCTGCTCAAAATTTCCAGTGGCTTCCAATGTCACACAGAGCAAATTCCCAAGCCCTAACCATGTTGTTTTGGTTCTCTAGTGCTGCTGTAACAGAAAACCACAGGTGGATGCTGTGAACAAACAGGATTTTATTCCCTTACGGTTTGGAAGGCTAGAAGTCCGACGAGTTCAAAGTGCTAGCTCTAGGGTCTGGGTGAAGGCCCCTCAACCTTGGGCTTCAGCTCTGCTTCTAGCTCCCGGCCCACTGGAGTTGGAGGCTTTTCTTAAGTCAAGCAGCTTCTGGCTGCTGAGGCTGACAAACCCAAGGCCAGCAAGTAAAATGGCACAGTCCTAAGATTATTAAGCAACATGGCAGGCCACTAGTTCAAGTCCAGGAACAGTGCCAAGGTTGGCAGACAACATGGCAGGCCACTGAGATGAAGACTCAGTTATTTGCAGGGTCCAGGCATGCCAAAAAGCTGGAGAGTTTTCTCAAAGCTGCTTCTTATATACTGGAAGCAGACCATACACTAAGGCAGCTACTCAGCTGCTCACAGCAGATCCCACCATGGAATTGATTCATCATGGGGAATAACTAAATCCAGCTGCCCAGTCACTCAAAACCAGGCCCAGCCAAGTTGACACATAACCTTAACTATCATACAAGCCCTACAAGAACCAGCTTGATCTGGTCCCAGACTGCCTTTTTTTTTTAAATCTCATTTCCTGACATTCTCTCCATTTCTCACTCTTTTCAGGTCCCACTAGTTCTTTTGCTTGTTTGACATATTCCAGGCTTGCTCCTGCTTAGGGCCTTTTCACTCATTCTTCCCCTGTCAACAGTGATCTTTCCCCAAATATTTGCATATTCCTGCCATCACTGATTTAGCCCTCTGTTTTCCTTATCAGAAGGATCTTCACCGACTACCCTAAATAAAACAGCACCCCTTCCCAACCACTCGCTAATGCTCTAACCCATTTGATTTTTCTTCTGAACATTTATCACTCCTTGATGCAGTCATTTGCTTGTTTCTTTATTGTCCATCTCCCCTCTTCAAGAATTTAAACTTCATGAAAACAGTCTTTATTCCCTTCTGCATCCCCAAGCACCTAGAACAGAGCCTGGCAGAAGGTAATTCTCTGTAACTATTTATGAAACAGTTCAATGATTGGTTGTGGGTGCACAGGCTGACATCTAATCCAATCAAGGATAGTTTCCTACAGGAGGTGATACCTAGGTGTAGTCTTAAAGGGCAGAAGTGGCTAATTGGATGGTTGAGGTGTATTCCTGGCAGAGAAAGCAGAGGTGGGAAGGCCAAGAAGTGAGATATTTTAAGGCGATTGGTATAGTTGGAGTGGAGAACACAGGCAGGAGAGTAGTTAGAGATAAGGCAGGAGAGGACAAGATTTGAAGGGTCTTGAGTACCAGGTGAAGGCATTTGGACTGATTCCATGCAGGAAATGGTCAGCTTTGTGTTAACAGGCTGTGTGGAGGAGAAGCTGGTGCAGGGAGAGAGTTAGGAAACCTCATTTACAAACAACCAAAGAGTTATGCTAACTTAGGAACCCAGAGTAAGTTGAAAACAAATTTCTCTCTGGCTAAAAGGCTTCAGTGGCGATAGTTGGAAAGTGAAATGATTGCAGAGATGTGCTTTGGAGATTGAGAAAGCAGACTGTGTTTATTTATGGCTGTTTTCTCCTTGATGCATGTGCAGAATTTCCATGAACGCTAATGGTGCTATTCTGAGTACTTGTCAAAGGGAAGGAGGCTTGCAGACATCCATCCAAGCCTTTCACCCACCAAGAAGCATCTCTGAATTCTAGCCTGTTAGAAATGAAAGGGTCAGTTCCTGACAAGAGCTGAAGTGAGAGAAGTTCCTGGACCTCTGTAAGTTTAACCAAAAATGAAACCCATCGCCAATGAGTCAGTTCTGACTCAGCAACACCCACTGGCTTTCCAAGGCTATAAATCTTTACAGAAGTAGACTGCTTCACAGTCATAGGAGTTGAACATTTACCTGAGGTAGTTACACTCCTTGGAGAGAACAATCATGGGAGAAAGTAGGGCTGTGTATGCACAGGGAGACAGCTCAGCGGGCAGGAGTGCATAGAGGGATGGACACAGGGAAGAGGTCACTGTCGGGAGGAAGTGGGAGGGGAGCTGTTGCTTTGTGGTGAATTGTGGTCAGTGTCATGAGAAAGTATGTGTGAACTGCTGTATGGAAAGTGAATTTGCTCTGTAAATTTTCACCCAAAATCACAATTTAAAAAATTAGATTGCTTCATCTTCCTCTTGTGGAGCAGCTGGTGGCTTTGAACTGCCAATCTTCTGGTTAGCAGCCAAATGCCTTACCCACTACGCCACCAGAACTCCTTTCTGTAAGTCTAGGCATGGATGTATTTTCTAAGTATGTTTAAGTTCCTAGAGGAAATTTTTGGGAAAGTAAATACCATAGAGGCTGTTCAAGCAGCTTATTGATACTTTCTTGAGGTTAGATTGGAACTCCTGGTCCTTTGGGTAGGGACTGAGTCTATTTCCATTCATTCACTCAGCAAACACACAACAAATACTGCTATGTGCCAAGGACTAGACTGGCACTGGGGAAACAACAGGAAATGAGATGTAATTCCCACTTTCAAGGAACTTTTAATCTGGTGGGGAGACAGGCATGTAAGTAAATAATTATAGGATATTTAGAACTTACTATAGATATTTACTTAAAATGTCGAGAAAGTGGAGAAAAAGTAATTGATATCACTCTGAGGTGAAGAAGAGTCTTGACAGAGAGTGAACCTCTAACCGAGTCATGAAGGATGAGGTAGGAGGTCTTAGCAAGGGCATCAGAATGTGTGTAAAGGTACAGAGGTGTAAAGTGCATGACTTGTTTCAGTAAAAGCAGA